AAAAAAAAAATTTTTTTTTTTTTTTTTCACACAGAAAGAAAATTTGTCTCCCCCCCCGTATATATATATATATATATATATAATATATATATATATATATATATATTCCAGCAGGGACTTAAACCTTCTTTCTATGGGACAACAATGGAACAGAAGTTATTTTCATTAACCAAACCTGATTACCTGTGATCTGGACAGAGCTGAGGTTGCATTCTGTGGGCACATGTTGAAGGTCATGCTTTGGGATGTGCTGATGCTGCTGTTGTTGGGGGCCATCAGGTCAAAGAGGTCAGCTGATGAAAGGAGGGCAGATGTTGGTGTGGAAGCAGTAGGAACGGACATGTCACTAAAGAGGTCTGGGATGGGAGATTGAGTAGTGGCATCAGGAGGAGTGGTAGAGACAGTGTTCCAGCCACAAAACTCACCATTACCAGCTGACAATAATACTAAGGAGACAAAGAACCATGAAAAAAAATATTACCTCACAGAGACACACAAACAGAGCTTGTTTTTTTTCCCTCATGAGACCAAAAAATGTCACCACAAGTTCTCAACCACACTGCTATAGTGAATATCAGTAAGTGTGATTATTCTGCCCAAGAGTTATAAAAGACACATGTGCATACTAAATGTATTCACAAAACTTTTAACATTTTTAATGTTACAGCATAATTCCATAATGGATTAAATTTATATTTTTTCCCAAAATTATTCAAACAACACCCCATATTAACTTCAACAACCCTAATCTATTATTAAAATAAAAGAAACCATTTAGAACAAACAATACAAGTAATATAATCATCAATTTTACAGTAAATATATTGCATAATTCCTATGGCTGGGCACAAGCAAAAAATATATATATATTTCAAGGTAATAATTTTATTTCCAAAATTATTCTAGATTATTTTACTCACAATCACTCCTGAAAATGATTCATAACAAATTTGCAAAGGATAAGCTGTTTCAAGATGACACAATAAAGAAAAATAAAGGCAAAGAAGGGCAGACTAATGACTTATTGTACTTAGCCATTTTTAATACTTCTGTAAGATCAAAAGGAGGAAACAGCTGAAAAGGCCAAAATGGCAGTAAAAAAAGGTAATAGGGGAGGGTATTATCTGCAGTAATTGAAATTCAAAAAGAACATGACAGAATCATTGAATTTGGTAATGGAATCTCCTGCCAAGCTAAATTTGGCAAAACATTACACAGGGGGTTGGATTCTATGAATGTGAGCATGCATGTTTTCAATCAGGAGGTTAATAATATCAGAATTAAATAGTGACAAAACTGTGAAAATGAAGGATAGCTTATTAAGAGGTGTTGTGTGACTTGGGTGCCAACAGGGTGAGAATGATAAGTTTATTCAGGAGCATCCCTTCATGTCAATGGGAAGACAGAAATACAGCATGCTTGCCCTATATCTATAACCCTTATGGCAAAATGAATTTCTTGAACACCGATCTTTTGTTGGTCAGACATCAGGACAAAGACAACATTATAATAAAGATAGAGCACCCCCTCTGAAATAATCCATGGTTCATAAAAAATGTTATTTTTCCCCCAGATTTCAGCAATGAACCATTTTTGAAGAGAAGATAAGTTGACAGTGCACGACAACCGTTTGCAAACAGGTAATACTGTCTATTCCTGATGTATCCCGACCTTAAAAGTAAAATTTAGATTTTCTGCATCTTTACCTCAAAACACTAGAAAAATCCTTTCATTTCTACTTAACATTTGCCTTTCCACATAGTGGTGGCAGATAATCAATCTTTTTAAAGAGTTCTTCATGATTTACTCTAAAATGACCACGCTGTACCATGCATCAAATTAAGCGATTATATTTTTAAATATCTGAATAAAAGCTTTTTTCATTCATTCATTCATTCATTTTCTTTTCGACTTAATCCCTTTATTAATCTGGGGTAAAACAACTTATCCAGCATATGTTTTACGCAGCGGATGCCCTTCCAGCTGCATCCCATCTCTGGGAATCATCCATACACACTCATTCACACTCATACACTACGGACAATTTAGCCAACCCAATTCACCTGTACCACATGTCTTTGGACTGTGGGGGAAACCGGAGCACCCGGAGGAAACCCACACAAACGCGGGGAGAAAATGCAAACTCCACACAGAAACGCCAACTGACCTAGCCGAAGCTCGAACCAGCAGCCTTCTTGCTGTGAGGTGAGAGCACTACTTACTGCGCCATCGCGTCACCCCAAAATCTTTTTACTTTTCAAAATTTACTTTGACTTGTATTTCATTGCAGACAATTTGAACAAAGTATGTCATGTTGTCTGATCAACTTTATTTCATTTGTAAATATACTTCCTCTGATCAACTTTATTTCATTTGTAAATATACTTCCTCTCCTGTCATTCAGACCTGCAGCACATCCCAAAAAAGGAGATGGACAGGAGACAGGAGCAATTTAGGGTTCTTAATCAGGTAAATTGGTTAAACAATGACGTGGTTTGAAATATGTAGGGAGTCAACGGATCGTTCCAGAACCGAACAAGTCACAGACCATATTTTTCTTAAAAGATTGGTTGGTGCCTACATGTCTGAGCTTTGATTTCATTTTCAAGGCAATCCACAGGATGACTTGCCAGTCGCGATCACAACTGCATGCTAATTAACTATTACACCTTAAAACAATAAGAGGCTCTACAATCAAAAACCCACCAAACTAGTAACTGAAAGTGCCTTTTGTTTCACGCCAGCGACCCATGTCTGAGAGGAATACACATTCTAGGCTCACAAAGAAGCAATCACAAGCTTCCAAACTTTAAATGGACATACAGTAAAAATAGTTAATTTGAGTAATGTATGTTTGCTTTATGTTTCTGTAGGTTTTTGTGTGTACATGTTCCATGTGTTTAACAAAAACTGTTATGGATAGTTATTGAGTTATAGCCCTCAGTGACAAATTAAATCTACAGAATGTTTGTGAAATACTTCATGTTTGGTATTGATTGAAAGCTAGGAAAGTTTCAAATGCATTGTTTTATATGAAGAAACCATACTATGAAAGGTGTCCATGTTATGAGACTATATTTTAACAACTATGCTATCAAAGCAGCACCGACACAATTTGCCAACCCGGTCTTCTAGAGGGCAGAATTGGGGTGTGACCCCACCCCGCACCTTCTCTGATTGGACAAGTATTATGTAGACCCAGCCTCAACCAAAGCCTATAAACTTTGAACAAAGAAATTTCATCGCTGTCTTTTGCCGGTCATCTTTGCCAGTCGTCACCGCCGTCGCTGCCCATACGTCGCTCTTTTCGTGGTGTGGCCATTACATCGCCTCGCCGGAAGCCTCGTTACATCACGGAGCAGACCGCGACCTTCACTTGCTGCCGGCTTGACCCCCGATCTGCTTGTGCAACCGCTTCAACAACAAGCCATCGGGTCAACACATCAAACTCTGAAACTCATCGTAACTACAGAAACCCAGGAAGGACTTCGAACGCCGCCTTGTCCAACATCCGTATCCCTAGCAACCGACTAAGGAAACCCCTCTTCACCGACAAGGGAATTCCATCACGTCACTGAAGTTGCTACGCTGACCAATCAGCTTCGCCGGGATTTCCCTTTGGACCAGTCGAGGAAACCAAAATTCCATCAGAACGCAAGTAGCACAAACAAGGTTTCTATCCATTGTTGAAACTAGTGTGAATTATGTTTAAGTAGTAAAGAATAGTGAAATTCTCTGCTTTTATGGTTTCTCTCATGTTGCAATGCTAAGAACTTAGCAAAGACTAGAAGATGAATCCACTCAGTCAAAACTCTCCTCAAACTGCTTGTGCGTGTGTGTATGTATGTGCATTTGTTTGTTTTACGTAGATTAGTACTTTGTGTTATAGAGTAGCAATAAACTTTTGTTTCATTTTAAGATCAGTGTTGGTGTGTTGTGTGCTTTATAAGTTAATGTCTCAGCTTCAGATACTGCTACCTTGCTCATTAAATAATTAGATACTGTTCTTACATTGTTATTGTTGGCCACGTAATAATATAATACAGAATTGCTTTACACTAAACGTTCTATTTGCTGGACAAATACTTAAGTTAAGTGTAAGCTTTAAATAATTCTTTGTGAATCATGTTCGAATCTTTGATTCAAATCCCCAAAGTTTAAACATGAGTTAAACCAACGACCTGATTCTTACAAATATGTGAAGTCAACAAGTGATTGTAATTGTAATTTAGTAAAAAAGCACCATCCAAGAAAAGGATAGTTCTTTAGAAGTGCAAGATAATTTCGATTTCTTAATCCCTTGATTCCATCATGGAGTTGAATGTTTAAGATGAATGGACACTCGTGTCTTTTCTTTTTCCGAAGGAATCCAAAAGAAAAAAAAAAACAGATACCATGCAAGTAGGAGGGTGTGGGGGACCCCTAATAGTATCTCTGGGGGATAATTAAGAATCAAGATGGGCAACCCAAGCAGTGCAGACATGTGAATTGACCAGGTGTTGCCACAATACGACAACTGGTCTGCAGTGAATGTATAACAGAAAGTTTAGTGTATCTGAACTAATCAAATACGCAAATGTATTAACTTTTGTTGAATGTGATCGGTTACTAATTAGAAACACAGTGCAAATTTAATGATCACTTGAAATTGGAGTCAGAGTAAATTTGGATCAAGAAACAAACAAAATGAATTCTAATCAATAAGATAATTATTTTCAAAAGTGCTAGAAAAGGCTCACACGCATAAAACCTTCAACCATTTACCGGAATCCATCACTGGGCCGATAGAATATAACCCTTACAGGAGCAAAAATTGGCAGAGGATCACCAGTTTGCCAACACATTCGTTTAAAAAAGATATATTGAAATGTTTAAAACAATGTGTTTCAAAGAAAGATAGGAAGACATTTGGATATTTTCCCCTCAACAATGCATAACATAATTAAAAGAGTCAAGGAATCTGTGTGCATAAAGAACAAGGGAGCAAGCCTAAACTGAACAACCATTATCTCCGATCCCTCAAGTGGCACTGCATCAAGAATTCTCACCACATGGGCTAAAGACTACTTTGGGAAACCTTTGTCAAGTATCAAAATACTTACAGGTTACATCCACAAATGCCAGTAAAAACTGTACTGTGCCAAAACAAATCCCTATGTTAACAGTGTCCAGAAGCACCATCGTCTTCTCTAGCTTTTGAGGCATCTGGGATGAACCATCACACAGTGGAAAAGTGTAATGTGGTCAGATGAATCAGTGTTTCAGGTATTTTTGGGAAGAAATGGAGGCTGTGTGCTCTAGACCAAAGAAGAACGGGATCATCCAGACTGTTACCAGCAACCAGTCCAAAAGCCAGGGTCTCTTGTGGTATGGGGTTGTGTCAGTGCCCTTGGCAAAGTTACTTTTTACTTCTGTGATGGAACCATTAATGCTAAAAAGGACATAG